ATTCCCCCCTGCCCCCCCCAGCCAGCCCCCGCCCTGGGGCCGGATCAGAGCTGGTGCCCCCTAGGCAGATTTTGCTGTCAGTTGAGGGCGCTCGCTCTCTCCCCCGTCAGCTCTGGCTGTTCCCAGCTGGGGCCGTGCGTTCGTAACCTGCCGAGGTCAGTCAGCCAAGCGCACAGGGGCTCTGCCTGGGACCCCCCTGTGTAGCTGGGATACCCAGAGAACGGCCTGGAGATGGGGTATCCTAGCAACCAGTGACCAGGTGGCGCAGCCCAGTCAGCTGGTTCCGGCCCATGGGAGGACAATGGGCTGCGGAGAGAGGACCCCGGTGACCTGACCAGCTGGTTCCAGCCAGAGGGGAACAAAGGACAGGAGAGAGAGGGACCCAGTGACCTGTTCACCTGGGACGGAGGACAAAGGACAGGGGAGGAGCTGTTGGGGGAGAGGATATCGGATGCCCAGCTGGGAAGCAGGGGGCGCTGGGCTGGAGAGGGGGAGCAGGCAGAGCCCACCTGGATGCAGGGGAGACTGGGATGTGCTGTGCTGAGGGAGGCCAGGCCGGAGGCCCAGAGAACTGCCTGTGCTGGGTTCAGACACTCAATAAACCCTCCTGTGTTACCCTGGCTGAGTCACTGCAGGCTAGAGACCGGGGTTGCTTTGCTCCCTCTGGGCGTGGAGGCACCGGGGGCCCAGAGCAAGTGGACTTCCTGAGGGGCCAATGCAACTGGCCAGAGACTGTCCACAAAGCCTGTGGGGAGGTGAGGAGCGTAGCCAGGGCTGGATCAGGACTCCTGGGTTCTGTCCCTGGCTGAGAGGGGAGTGGGGTCCAGTGGTTAGAGTGGAGGGTGGGAGGGGAGCTAGGACACCTGGGTTCCAGCCTGGCTGTGCCACTGTCTTGCTGCATGTCCCTGGTCAGCATCCTCCCCTTCTGCTCTGGGTGGCCCTTGGGCTGATGTCCCCAGTGCTCAGATGGGGGAGGGGGCCCAAGCCTGAGCAGGGCCAGGGCACACATGCCCCCATCATAGCAGGGCAGGAGGTCCAAGGGGGTGGCAGCCCCAACCCTGGCTGCTTAGTGCCTGCACCACATGGTGGAAAATAGGCTAATACTGGCAATGGGACAGGGAGCTCCTCCTCCAGCTCAGCATACCCCTCCCCCAAACCAGACACCCAGGGCCCCTTAGCCCTGCTGCCCCAGAGACTAGGCCGCCCACCCAGCCCCCTCCAGGCCAAGAGAGATGCTTGGCTGAGGGATGTCCTTAACCTACCCCCTTCTCTCAAGGATGTCATAGCAGCTGGCAGAGCTGGAATGTCCTTAAGTCCACCCCCCCACATCCTTAACCTCACCCCCTCTCCTAGGGGTGCTACACCTGCTGGCAGAGCTGCAGCCAGGGTCGGGTCCGTACCATTGGGATAGGGTGCAGAGGGAAGGACCGGGGGTCACCCCAACAGAGGACACAGTCCAACACCCCTGAACTGGGCCGGGATTGAGCCCTGCCCCACCAGCGTCGCATGGCCAGGGTTTGGCTCTGCCCCCGGATGGAGGGTGCCGCCCCCCCCAAGGGCAGGGCTGGGACAGCTGGAGCCATTAAACTGCCCTGGTCAAGTCACCCCAGTAGGACGTCCCAGGGACTCAAGCCCCAGCTGCCCAGCCTGGGTGTCAGGATGGCCCCCAGCCACCACCTAGCGCGTCTCATCAATAGGGCTCTGAGCAGGCCGATATCACGATCTCCCAGTAGAACTGGGGAAACTGAGGCACAGAGAAGGGTCAGGACTCACTCCAAGCTACCCACGAGGCAGCCCTGTCTCCAAGCGAGGGAGAACCCGCCCCGCCCCTGGGGCCGTTGTGCCAAAGGTGAATTCCTCTCCCGGATCCTCTGGCTAATCTGGATTTGTCTGGTTTCATCCACCAGCTGTCAGCTCCCGCTCAGCCTCTGTCTGCTGGGCAAGGGGGCCTGCTGCGCTCAGCTATCTCCTCCCCTCCCTCCCAGAGACAGGGATAGAACCCAGGAGTCCTGGCTCCCAGCCCCCCCCCCAATCACTCAGCCCCACTGCCCTCCCAGAGCCAGGGATAGAACCCAGGAGTCCTGGCTCCCAGCCCCCCCCCACAACCACTCACTCCCACTCCCCTCCCCACCCCAA